GTCTCCTGCTCTCAGAAGCCTGACAGTAGGTGGGGTGAGCCAAGGAGGTGCCCTGGGGGCCTCAGGGAGGGGTCACCTGTGCTTCCAGTCCCCGTGTCACAGAATGCTCTGGGTGCACCAGTCCCCCAGCTCGGCATATCTGCCCGCCACCGCCTCGTCCTTGTCCCCGAGCTATATCACTAGGCTCAGCAATATCATGGGCACCACCATGTACTCAGTGGCTGGGGTCCCTGCGAGCTGGGGCCAGCCCAGCCCCGATGGATCCTCCTGCACCCAGCAGATGATCTGGTCCATCATCTCCATCACTTCCTTCTGCGAGGGGAGTTCAGGTAGGGGCTGTGTCCCTTATGTCATCCCCAGGAACTGGCTGGGGCCAGAACCTGGCCTGAGGGGGGAGTGCCGTGCCCCTCACACACTCCAAGGAGGCTTCCTTGGGCTGATCTGGGGGCTCCTGCTCTGGAGTCCAGGGCAGGGCTGAGAGATGAAGGAGACTTGAGGGGAGGGAGGACACACCTAGCGCCTAAGATGAGAAGGTATCACAGTGAAGAGAGGCACTTGTGGGCAGAGGGAGCCCTGTGGCAGGAGCTCAGGATTCTGCAGAACTTACAGTGGGAAAGAGACGGCCTGCACCTCCTGAGACGTTGGCCTGCACTAGAGGCTGGGCTTGGAGCAGCGTGCAGATGACAGAGAACTGGGATCGCAGTCCTGGGGGTGAAGGAGCTGGGCCCAGGCCCCAGCTTCAGAAGTGGCGCAGCCGTGAGCCGCGGTACCACCTGCTCTTGGAGCACAGGTGGCCTTCCGGCCAGCACACAGCTCTAGTGCGAAGCCCTGGGCCAGCTCTGGAGCCGACTTTGGAGGGAAAGAGCAAGCCGCTGGCAGGTGGGCCAGGCAGCAAGGCAGCAGCAGGGGCACCAGGGAGGCTGGCAGAGGCAGGGACAGGCAGGCATTTGGAGGTGCCAGAAAGGGACCTGAATGCCACAGAACCTGAGCATGGAGAGAGGGAGGCTTGTGTGCCAATACCTCATGCGTGTTTGACCTTGCAGCTTCTTTTAGTTGGAAGTGTAAACCACACCTAATAAACTGTAGAAATGCTAGGAGCTCAGCTTGGTGAAAGTTTCTTATAGGTCCCCTTGTGGTGACATCGTGGTCTGTGTCATGTCCTTGTAGAGCAGGAACTTTGTCATTTGCTTTTGTGTCTGAGAAAGCTCCAAAGAAGGTGCTCAAGAAATGCTGGTTGAATAAAGATCAGCAAAGGGATGAGGGGAGCCAGGTTTAGTGGCACACAACCGTCATCCCAGCACTAAGAGGCTGAGACAGGAAGAATGCTGTGAGTTCGGGGCCAGCCTAGGCTACATAGTGAGTTCAGGGTCGGTCTGGACTACACAGCAAAACCCTGTCTCACCACCTAACCAAAACAAAATGAAACGAAACAAAATGAAACAACCAAAAAGGAAAAGGACAAGGGGTGCAGAAGCAGAGGGCCCTTTCTGACCTGCTTTGACTGGACACAAATCTGGAGCCATGTTTATATGCGGTCACCAGCTTTGGAAAGAAACACATTTTGCCCCAGAATCCCAGGCTAGCACATGAGCCAAATGCTTGACTATTGGAGAAACTGCTAAGATCGGCCTGGGACACAGCTCAGGACCCCTGAGGAATGGGTCAGAGGGCTATGGGGAGGAAACCACCTGTCCCTGCTAGGTGGGGCCTCCACTAGAGATGGGCTGGGTGGAGGGTAATGGGGCAGGGTCCTGGCCAGCTGGCTGAGATCCTGCTGGGCTTTGGGTTCTAGATGTGTCCCAGGAGTTTCCTGCACTCGTAGGTGGGGATTTGGGAAGGTGCTTGGCTCCTGAAAGCTTCTAGCTGACTAGACATTAGGAGGTGGGGTCTAGTCAGAAGTGGCTGTCACTAAACCATGGCCTGGAAGGGTCTCCTTCCCTGCCCCTCTCTTCTTCCTCCGTCTCCTGCCAACCAAGCCTGAGCAACTTGCCTCTGCGCGTGGTGCTGCCTTGGAGCCAGAGGCTGACTGAAAAGTGAATCAAAAGAAAGCTTTCCTTCAGGTTGTGGTGCTGGATATGGGGTCTCAGAGGGAGAAAGTGACCAAGATGGGCCCACAGGGAGCAAGTGAAGACCCCACGGGCTGCGGCCTTGGCAGTCATTTCGGTTGTCTGAATGTTCTAGTGGAGGCAGTCAAGAAGCACAGCCTGGCTCTATCAGGGGCCTGGTTGCTTGTTCTGTAGTTCTGCACTGGTGGGACTGGGGAAGCTACCAGGCTCAGGAAGGCAGGGCACTGGGAGAGGGCCAGGGGTGCTCTTAACAGCCCTATAACACCCCATAGGCCCTTGAGGCAGGTGGACGTGTCAGTGAAAGCAAATAAAAAGTTCCTTCCCAGTAGCTTGCAAGCAGAGATGGCCAGGCCAGGGTAGGGGCATTGGGAGGCCTCTACCCTGACCAGGGGTCAAGTATCCTGCCACTTGTCCAGAGCTGTATTGGGGGAGGGGAGGGCTGACAGCGGTAATGAGCATGGGACCGTAGAGGAAAGATGACATGGGCCTCTGCCAGAAGCCAGGGAGAGCGCCAGCGGGGGAGGGGGACCCACACCCGTTTCTAGGGTGGTTCTAGCTCCTGCTGGCTTCCACCTTGGGCCTCCGATTCTGGAGTCCACTCTGCTTGTTCTCCACAGCTAGGCAGCTGCCGCCGCCACTGAGCCCTGCTTGCATGAGGAAGGGCCAGGAAACCAGAGCTAGGGGAGATGCTTCCTTTTCTGAGGCACTGGTCACCAGAAAGAGGGTCAGCCACCAATCACCAAGACGGCTGATGCCTTCTCTTCCCCCTTCCCCGCCAGCCTTTCCTATTCCCAAGGGAGGAGCTGAAAGTCTGGCCTTATCTTGTTTTCATCTAGAATTCAGGCCTAGGGAGCCCTGGCAAACATGAGGACAGGCACCTGGCTGAATGCAAGGTTCCTTTCTGCCAAAGGAGCAGCTGAAATTCCCAGAAAGCCCACATCCCCAATCAGGGCACCTCCTCACTCTACGGAGTGCCCAGCATGCACTGACACAGCCAATCCCAGCAGGGACCTGGACAGCACTGGGATGCCACAAAGAAGTGGCTCTCCATGCAGAATTCCATGGTGGAGAAAGGACAAGGGGAAGTACTGGTAAACCAAGCTTTGACAAAATGAGTCATGGAATATCAATGCCATTTAACATATATTTATTGAAATCTACTTGATGCAAGGCACTGTGCTAGATTTGGTAGGGGAGCAGACACGAGGGCCACCCCTGGCTTCTACGAGCTCACAATCTAATGGGGACGGGAGGGGCTGAGTGGGAGGGAGAAGCCAAGTCCACAGACAGCTCTAGTGCAAGGCTGATTATAATGATTGCCAGAAGACAGACTAAGTCATGAGACCTGGGAGGAACAACAACAGAGCGTCCACAGGTTGGAGCAGGACACAGCTACTGTTCTCAGAGAGGTGCAGGTTACACTGAGGGTCAAGTTTAAAGAGATCATTTCTAGTTTTCAAAGTGAATCCCCAAACTGATGCAATGAGAACTACAGAATGTAAGTATGTTATTAAGAAAGGCGTTATCAATTCTTCTATCCGATGGATCTGCTGGAAACAGTGAAACACTTCCAAGAGAGAACAGGGTGGGCCACGATGAACTCATTGTACAGTCAAATGCTGGTTCAGGAAAGGAGCACTACGCAGACAGAAAGTGTGCTTAAACTCACTGTGACAGAAGGCATAGATTTTCACCCATCGTAGTGAACACAGTACAGCAGCACATTTAAACAGGTGTCACGACAGTCAGGTGGGACTTGGGCCAGGGACGCCGGCTGGGAGAATTCAAGGAAAGCCGGCAACGTGATTTTCTCACAAAGCAGCCAAATGGCCAATGTAGTTGGCTCTTGGACAAAATGCAAAAGCAGAGACTTAAGCTGGCTCAAGTCAAGGGGCAGGTCCTTGCTGGGGACACGCGGACTGACAGAGGCAGTCGCCAGCAGTCCAAAAGCACAAAGCCAGCCGGCCTCCCTTGGGGTGTGGGGAGGGGGCAGTGCTGGGCAGCCTGGCAGAGGCACACAGGTCTGCAACTTGGTGCTGCCCGCAGGGGCAGCTGTTCTACACACTGTGTGGGGCTCCATCTGTGATCCGGCTGCAAAGGCTGGCTTGTCTCCTCAGATCTGAAAGGCCAGCTCCATCGTCTCCAGCCCGATCTATGAGCTGTGCTGCTCTTGGGGTGATTATTCAGTTCTGCTTTATTTCACGCAGCCCAGAAGAGGGGTTACAAGTCACATGGTATGCAATAGGGCCCCAGCCCTGGGCTGCGGGCAGGGCAGATGCCACACCTTGCCACGTGGCCACAACACCAAGCACACAAAATGTAAGTACTGAATGAGAAAGATGGAGCCAGGTGGAGGATATTCCAGAGCTACAAGAAGCAGTAAAAATGATAAACAATTTCTTTCTTTTGAAAATGTCAGCAAGTTTCCAAACACTAATAAAAGCAATGGTAAAAAGGAATACAGCTCTACCAAAAGCCGGAATGGCACGTGACCTAGCTTTTCTCCATTTCCCTTGCAACAGAAACACGTGTAGTTAGAAAGCAAAGTGAAATGAGGTAGATACATGAATGCGCAGACAAACACAGTGGGCCTTTTGCTTGCATCACGCCGACAGAGCAATGTGTCTGGGGGAATGCAAGGAAATCTGCTTCCTTGGTGCGTGACACGAAAGACGACATGGCGAAAACGCAGGACGCACGGTTAAGCCACAGACCGATTGCTTTCAGAGAGTGCGGATTTTACTGTTTTTGCCATGGAAGGCTGCTGTGATAATGGTGACGGAAAAGCCACAGCCTTCAGTGTTATCCCTAAATGCACATCTGCTTGCGAGAGAATTATAGAACCCGAACTGAAACAAAGTGCGAAGTAGACACCGGTGCCGAGGAGGGCAAGAAGAGATGTGAAGATGCCATGTTCCAGTGGGAGTAGTGGAACCCTTCAGATCCAGCTGGACAAATGACCGAAGGAATGGTCAAAGAAATGGCAGGATCCTTAAAGCTAAGGGTGCCCAGACTTGGGCCTGGTACCTGTCAGCATTCCCTGTCCAACGACAGATGTACAAAACACGCCCTAACAGCTTGAAAAGGGAAAACTGACTGGAGAAAGTAGTGACTTCACACACATTCACAACTACTGCAAGAACAGAGCTCAGCTCGAAAGGAGTCACTATGTAACAGGTACTGTGGGCTTCTCTCCAGCCTGGAGGTCAGGATGGAGATGTCCCATAGGGCCACAGTGGTGGCCTGGGGCCACTGAGGAGGACCTTCTGGCTAAGGCCACAAGGATCACTGTCAGACCTTGCTTCCTAGAAGGGGGCCTGGGAAGCCCTTTCTGGCTGTGTCTGCATTTCTGCCGCAGGCCCTGGCCTCTAGTGTCCCCTAGGGCACAGCAGCTGGGAAGTGATGCCACAGACCTGGCATGGCCAGCTTCCTGGCCAGCTCTCACTGCTGTTCTTCCTGGGGGAGGCTGCCACCAGTGATGCCTGGACCCAGGATGGACAGTTCCTAGTTCCATTCCTCAGAGCCACCGGAGGGCCTGATTGCTCTTTCTGCCCTCTCAGGCATGGCTACTGCATCCTGGACCCAGCCTGGCGCAGCCAGCTTCTGTCAGAATGACACATGGGCAGTCAGAGAGACACAGTTCCTCTCTGAACCTCTGTTCTGTTGCTCATCTTAGATGTGGCTTCAGAGGGTGACACCAGCACAGGTAGACAAATCTTCCTCCTTAGCTGCCCCAAAGCAGAGGCCACCCAACTGATCTTTCTGATTCGAGTCACTTGCTGGGGGAAGATCAGTCAGACGAATCTTCTGGTGTCTGAGATGTTACTTAGGTGGATCTGCTGCTCAGTCACTGAATCCATTGCCAAGGCTCCTGGGAGCTTGGAGGTGGGCTGGCGGCTGCCAGGCCCAGGGTGTGCCATCCTGTTGGTCCAGGTGAGGCCAAGCCCCACTGCTGGTGTCTGGGGCTGTCCCCCTGAGTAGTCAGAGTGCTCTGCGGAATCCGTGGCCGACGTATCTGTAGTGTGCCTCAGTGGCCGGGTTGGGTAGTCAAGTGCTGGCCACAGGTAGTACGCAGAGTCTGCATCTGAATGAGGAATGGGCCTAATCCTCAGGCCCATTCCCTTCTGCCCCACCCACCTGGTGCAGTCACCTTCGGTGGGCAGGGTCTCAACTTTTTGTTTGTAATTAAAATTCTAGAAGAAAATGTCATCATATCTAAGTACTGAAGCAATGAAAGTTACGACCTACAAAACGAATGCTTGGCTATGTAAAAATCAAAAGCTCGCGCAACAAAAATGTAATAAAAAGTGCTATAAAGAGCAAAGTAATAAAACTGGAAAAGAGAACATCACAATTGATATAGAAAGAACCACTATACAAAGTTAATATATCCAAAGGCAATTTGATAACCAGTCAAAGGAGATGAACGTACAACTGCATGCAAGAAAACAGAAGTAGATATAGGTTGTCACATGAGAAAAAGATGACACTAGTAGTCAGGAGGCCTGGGGCTCATCCCTACATGTGGCACTAACGAGCTGCAGAATGACAGCAATAACTACGACAATGACAGCAGATGACCTTCATTGGGTGTGTGCCTTCGTGCCGGGCAGGCACTGCCACTGTCCTTCTGACACCTTTGGGAGGCAGGTACTGGGACTGTCCTCCGACTGACAGAGCTGCAAGCCGGAGGGTTGGAGACGTGCCTTTGGGCCCAATACCGGAAGTGGCTCTTGGTCCCCTCTTATCTGCGGGCCTCTCTCACCTACTTCATTTTGAACCCAATGGCGCTGCTTGAGGATGAGAACATTACGCTGAACACGAGAGGTCGATGTTTATCTTGGGTAGGTATCTGAGTCACGAGGTTGAATTGGGTTAAGGAAAAAGAGGCAAAAACATTTAAGTTCGATTAAGTTTTACTAGGAGTATGACCTCAGGATGATGGGTTGGGTGCTATTAAAACAAAAACCAAAACCCAGCTTTTGAAAAGGTCATTTGAAAAAGCACCACCCTAAGTGGCTATGATGCGCTTATTGGACTAGTTAAAAATATACGAGACGACTGTCCTACCGTTGCATGAATATGCTCTAATGGCTTGGGAGGAAGCTTCTCGCGGGAGCCTTCCGTGAGGGTTATCACAGCGCTGCCACGCAAAGCTCGGACAGAAGCGAGCGGCAGTGCCAAAACTGGTGACTGAGGGGATCCTGTGCTGGGGAAGACTGTGCGGTCACAACGCACAAGCTGGTGGAATAAAGCCACTCAGGAAGGGGGGCGTGGCGCAAAGGAGGCTTTTCTAAATTAATATATTATTCTATGTTATATGTGATTTACAATATGCATGTATAACTAAATTAATAAATTAAATATTATAAGACACTTGAGTATTCTATTTACATCCCTAAAAATTTATAAATTCAACTAGGCCAAAAACTTTTGGGGCAATCTTTTCTTTCTTCAGGAGCATTGGGATTGCACTGTACGGATGCCACTGTTTGTTTCCCATGGGGACAGAGCCTAGAGGAGGTGACCTCCCAGCATTCCTCAGCCGCATGTCTCTCACCATTCAAGGCCTGAGGGCTGAAATACCTCGAAGGCACCCTGTGCCGGTAACCTAGCTGAACTAAGTTCAATTGGGAAAAGCTACTCTCGACTACCATAATGGGAAACATGGACACTTAGAAATTGCTGGTGGCAGGAGAAATCGGTTTAACCTCTCTGACGATAAAATTGAAAAGTACTACAAAACTGTTCATCTCCTTTGACCCCCCCATCGGCCCCTGGGGACAAGTCCCCTACTCCCGGTGGGTGGGCTGATGCTTCTGCAGCGCAGAGCGCCTCTTGAACACGCGGCCACACTCGCTGCACTCGCAGCGTCTCGCGCCACTGTGGATGCGCCGGTGGCGGCTCAGGCCCGAGCTCCGACGGAAGGCTTTGCCGCACTTGTCGCACTCGTAGGGCTTGAGTCCGCTGTGGATGCGCCGGTGCTTGATGAGGTCAGAAGGGCCTCGGAAGGCCTTGCCACACTCGCCGCACACGTAGGGCCTCTCGCCGCTGTGGATGCGCACATGCTCTAGCAGGCTGGAGCTCTGGCGGAACGCCTTGCCGCACTCCCCGCACTCGTAGGGCTTCTCGCCGGTGTGGATGCGCCGGTGCTTCGTGAGCTCTGAGCTCCTCCGAAAGAGCTTGCCACAGTGCAGGCATCCGTAGGGCTTCGCGCCGCTGTGGATGCGCTGGTGCTCAGCCAGCCCGGTGACTCCGCGGAAGGACTTGCCACAGTCGTCGCAGTCGAAGGGCAGGTGGCCTGTGTGAATACGCTGGTGCTTGAGCAGCTCCTGGCGATCGAGGAAATCCTGGCTGCATGCCTTGCACGCGAAGGGCTTCTCGGCGATGTGCAGCTTCTGATGCCGGAAGAGGTGAGTGTGCGCCGTGAAGGAGCGCCCGCACTCCTCGCAATCAAAGGGCTTCTCGCGGCTGTGCACTCGCAGGTGCTGACTGAGGCCTGCGTTCTTCTTAAACCTCTTCCCGCACTCCTCGCACTCGAAGGGCATGGCCTCCTTCTCCAGCTGTCCCCTCTTCTCTGGCCCGGCGGCGGCATCTTCTAGGGCCCGACTGGGGCCCGGCCGGGGCTCGGAGGACTCGTGGCTCTTCCTGTGCTCATTTAACTCGGCCGCCCCCTTGAAGACTTTTCTGCAGTCGCCGCACTCCCACCCCTTTGCCTCACTGTGAACCCTCTGGTGCTGCACCAGGAGCACTTTCAGCCGGAAGGTGTCCCCACACTCTTTACAGGCAAAGTGGTGCTCTATGGGCAGATTCTGTGGGCTCCCTCCCCTCCCCTCTGAGTACCCCTTCTGTTTGACCTCAGTGCTGCGGTCTCCGGCCCTGGGGGAGCTCATGGATGTCATCTCCTGTGGCTGGGTTTTTTCACCCATTGTCTGGTGGCAGGTCACAGAGGTGCTCTCTGAAAGGACAAACACGAGAGGACACAGGAAGGTGACTCCTATCCATAAGCTTTGTCCCCTACTGCAGCTACTGAGCAAAGCACCAGAGAGCAGAGTCGGAGGGGTCCCAAGGAAGAAGGGGTCCCATTGAAGCATAGCCATAACCCTTCCCCAAGCCCTAGCCCTGGGTCCCACAGGCTGGGCTGATGCTCCCCCCAACCTCAAGCCCAAGAGCTCAGTGGAACCTTCCTGAACTTCAACCTGAGCCTCACAGCAGCTCAGCTGGGTCCTTCCCAATGTCCACAGCTTTCTTTAGGTTTCTTTTCCACTCACCAGGGTGCTTGGCTTGATCCGTGCTGAGGGATGGGTCTGACAGCAACAGCACTTGTCCTTGTGCCAGGTGGGAGACCAAGGCAGGATCCAAAACGGGCACTCCTGCTTGTGGGAAAAGGAATGGGTCACAGAGGTAGCACAGGGGACATGAGGATGGTGGGGACAGGCGAGGCTTTCAAGGGGAACCCTTTCCTGTTCTCCAAGACCGGGCTGGCTGTGATCTCAGGCACATGATTCCTGTGAAGCCAGCGCAGTCCCCAGGGGCCAGCTACTTCTGGAAGCAGGAGGAGGCGAGGCTCTGGGATCCCTTGAGGGGGGCTCCAGGGCCATGTCAGGCGGCCACCCCGGAGAGCTGAGCCTTACCCTGCTTCCCACCCCACAGTGCTTCCATGCTGAGCCTCACGCTCTTTCCAGACCTGAGGACGTGCAATTCCCAGACTCTCTCCTAAGCCTGCCCCCCAAGGGCCCCATGAGTGGACAAGAGAGCTTGATTATGTCCACCTCTTTCAACAGTGAACACTGATCAAATGGTCACGCAATTCATGTCGTTTGTGGGTTAAAAGTATTCTCAGCTGTGGTGGCAGGTTTGCTCCAATTTCCTTCCAGCGAAAGACTGAGTTGGGTTGTTGCTATGAACAATGAGTTACAGGAACTCTTGCCAATCAAAGATGTCCAGTGTGGCAGCACTTCGTATTTCCCTACAACTGCGGGATAAGATGAGCCCCTCTCCCAGCTCTACTCCCAGAAGACGGCAGTCTGGGGAACGGCTGGGGGCACCCTTACCCACGGAGGTCACATTCCCGTAATAAGCCAGCGTCCTCTGCTCAGGGTCCAGCTTCAACCACTCCCTCTCTGTGAGGTACTGCGCCACATCATCAGATGGCACCAGGTTCTGAAAGAATTCCCAGAGATAACCTGACTTTCCATGTAGTCTACAATGAGGCGGGGTGGCACAAATTATGCCAAGGGTGAGAGGTAAGGGCCTGGAGCATGTGTTGCTACTGTGAAGCTCCAACCACAATCCCCAAGAAGTCCTGGAGAAAGAACATGACCAAGCACCAGGAGACCTGGGCTGCTGCCCTGGCCTCCCGTTGTCTGCCCAAAGGGCCTCACGTTAGTCACACAGCCAGAGGGCAACTCAGCTTTCCCACCTGTACTGCGATGGGCATTGAAAGCCCAGTGGGCATCCCTTCCTTGGCAGCCTCCAGGAGAGAAGCAGAGGGCAGGAAGGACGGCAGCAGCCAGGGTTCACACCCTGCCACATGTCATGCTGGACGAGAGGCAGAGGCTGAGGCCAGAGTCAGGGAGCAGTGACAGAGTGCCAAGCAAGGCAGAGGGAAGCACAGCTCACCTGGGCCTCCTGTATCTCAAGAGGGACTGCCAGGACCTGGTTTCCCGGGGCTCCATCCTGGGGAAGGGCAAGACCTTGGGGAGCAGGTGGAGCTAAGGAAAGTGAAAAAAGCCATGAGTGACAATAGCATGGTCTCTGGGTCCCCTGGCATGAGACTGGTGTTTCGTTATTCCCTGGTTTTTAAATTATGTCCAGTGTTTTCTCACACGCTGGCTGTATAGCAGACCTAGAGAACACACCTCCCAACAGCACGCAGAATCAATGCAGGCGGGCCAGGAGGGCAGAGCAGGACAAATGTGCATGAGTCCAGACAGAGCCAGGGACAGCGAGACGACACTTGGAGACAAGCCGACCACAGGACGGAAGTGTGCCCAGCGTTGGGAAGCAACTGCTGGGACATGTGAGGGCCTTTCTGGCCACTGGAGTGAAGAGGACAGAAGACAGGCACCTTGGTGTTGTCCTGACCAGCTGGGCACCCTAAAAGCCATGCCCGCTGAACCAACTGACCTGCCCTGCAGAGGTGAGAAAGGCCACTGCCAGTGAGAACCTTGCTTCGACACAGTCAACAGAGTGGAGAGCTGCCCAAGATAACTGGAAAGCCAAGCCTCAAAGAAAAGATCTTCAAACACCAAGTTGCTAAATAAAAGATCTGAAGAACAATGACCAGTTATCCTTTTCTTCCAAATTACAAAATGAGTGAAATATTCTCAGATCCTACGGCCATTACGGGCCTCCCGCTTCAGGGCGTTCAAAGGAACAGTCACATAGCTCACGTTCTGACGTCAGCACCATTTGCCGCAGCCTTAAATGAAAAGGAAGCATTTTGATACCAGCTCAAGGGGAACAAAACCCAGATGCGCCACCATGGCTTTGACATATACAGCTGAAGGTGCTACTTTAAAAGGGCTCAGCATTAAACTCTTGAGTTTGGCCAAGAAGGGCAGAAAGTTCCACGCAAGGCTGTGATGGAATAGCAGGGAGCAGATCTCATATTCTGCCATAGCCAAGTAGAAACTGGAGAAATACATCTGGAACAACAGCTTTCGGTTCCTGGACAGTAGGAAGCACAGGCTCACAATCCCTGGGAGAAACAAGCAAGGTGAGCCCTGGGGGGCTTCCGCTCATGGCCTGCAAGTGACGTCCAGATAGTGTAAGGAGGACGAAATGGAACGGATTAGAGGCTTCACTAGGGGCTCCAGCACAGAGTGCGGCATGTGGGCAAAGAGGTGGGGGCTCTGCAGGATGCTTCCCTTAACTCTTCACTGTGGACTAAGCCATGTAAGCACAGAGTAGAACTGCCATGGGCCAGAAAAGAAGGACTGGGAAGCTAGAAGCTGGGCAATTCTCAGGATACACAAAGGCAGGGAGATGTCCCAGGTCTGCCCAAGCAGCCTAGAGTCTGATAATACAGAGGGGTTCTGTGTGTCCCACCAGTAAGGCGGTCCTGTCCTTGCAGACAAAGTGACAAAGATCTGCCCTACAAAGGCTTTAAAAGGAGGCCTTAGGGACCGGGGAAATAGCTCAGTAAAATAAGTGCTTCCCTGGCAAGTGCAAGGGTCTGAGTTCAATCCCTGGTTCCGCAAAAAAAGAAAAAAAAAAAAAGGAGGCCTTAAAGAGATTGTATTGGGGCCAGGATGTTGCTCAGTGGCACAATGCCTACCTGGCAAGCACAAGGCCCTGAGTTTGATTCCCAGAACAACAACAACAACAAAAAGATCATGCCGACCCACCTCCCAAAGTGCAGATGCTCAGGAACATAAGCCTGACAGTAGCCACATTTACTCCCAAATTACTGGAATGCTAAGCAGTGCCAAAATGTGACATAGGGTGAGGACAGTAAAAGAACCATTTACAACAACTGATAGCAGGACACACAAACAAGGAAGCACAACTTCACTGTGCATAAGTACTGAAAGAAAGACAGGAGAATGATCAGAGATAGAAGATACAAAAGGAACCAAATGGAAAGTCTGGAAGGGAAAACTATGTTTAAAATAAAAATTTCACTGCATGGAATCAGACACTGAAAAAAAGATTAGATAAGCTGGAGACATAGTGCTAGAAATGATCTCACACAAGTTTCACAGAGAAAGGCACATCATTGTAATTAGGTGTCTGAAAATCGGTGATGAAAAGATACAAAAGTTAGCCAGAGGAAAGAGGTGTTGCTGTACGCAGAGGAACACAAAATAGACGCACCAGTGACTTCCCACGGGAAAACATTTGAAGCCAGAAAACAGCACAATGACACGCCTAAGTGCTGCCAGGAAAAAAGCCTTGTCAATCTAAAAGCCCATGTTCAAGGAAAACAGGCCTTAAAATGAAAGCAAACAAATATTTTTGTGACAAAAGCCAAGAAAATTTGTCACCAAGAGTTCTACCCCCTAAGAAATATGCAAGATCCAGGTGTGGTGGCACACATCTGTAATTGCAGGACTCTGGAAGCTGAGAGAGGAGAGGCAGAGGTCGGGGTTCAGCCTGGACAACTCTGCGAGACCCTGCTGCAAAAAAGCAAGCAAGCAACAAAGCAAAGAAAGTGGAAAAGAGAGAAACGTCGACAGGAGAAGGACCATGAAACCAGATAGGCAGCCTGCTCTGCACAGGTGGGAAGAACGTCCAGAATATCAATCTGCAAGGAAATAGCCAATACTTTTACTTTCTTCATTGTCAAATATTTATAAAATAATTGACTATTTCAAGCAAAAATAGTAACAGAGTAATGTGAGGCTTTATAAAATGTAGACGTGAAACATATGACTCGTGTTTTAGCAAAGCTCCCGATACTGTGGTGCACACTAGTAAGCCAATAGTGGAGATGGTACACGCACCAACATATTCGAAAGAAGAGAAGTCAAGGAAAAAGGAACACATGAGACAAACGGAAATAAGTAATGGGAAGGCAAGCTTAAACTAACCACATGGACAATCATGTTAAATATAAATGGACTGAACACTCTAATCAAAAGGCAGATGTTGGACTATATTAAAAGAGCAAGATTTGACTACGCATTCTCTATAAAGAACTTTCAGCCTAATGGCACAGGTAACAGGATGGAACCCTGTCTACCATAACCAATAGAAAGTGTTAAAAAAAATCCCAGGGCCATAAAAGAGGTACGCAGGGGAAAGGTGACAAGCATGGCCCAGAGCTCTGAAGTTATTTCTGTAAGGACCAAAGCTCAGGGTAAGAAGGAAACAGGAGGACTGAATTATAAGTTCAACAGGTGACCCATATAAAACAATATGCAGGTGACAAAAATATGAATTCTTCATGGAAGATGAACATGCAGCCAGCCATATTAGCTCTTCACTGAAAACTCAAAGAAGGTAAAGGAGGAGAAAAGGCCGCTGAGGACAGATTTGTGTTTTCTGAGTGAGCAAGTGAGCGAGAGCGAGCGAGCGAGCGAGCGAGAGACTGGAAAGTGGGCTGTGGCGATCCAGTGGCCCCTCACTGTGTGCCCAGCAGGCTGGCCAGCAGAGGCAGGGGCTGGAAGGGCCCACTGGCTGCCTGGCCGCGTGCCGATTCGCAGTGAGGAGGCTGCACTCTCTTGGTGGCAGAGAAGGGCAGGCTAAGAGCACCGCCGACCGGTGCGGAGGAGGAGCCTGGCACGCTGGAGGACGCTGGGCCGCGGTCACTGAGCTGGGCTCAGAGGACCAGAGTTTCTGGGGATGTTCACGTGGTCAAAGCAAGCACAGAGAGGGCTTTGAGGGCCATTTGCAAAGAGGGGCGGGCCAGGAAACCCTGAGACAGACCCTGGCGTCCTCCCCGCAAGCCGCCAGTACTGTGTACCTGAGCAGAGGTCTCAGCGGGCCCCGAAACCCCAACGCAGGTGCTACCTCAGTCTCCAAGCTCCTCTGCAGGTACTCACAGGCAGCCTAATGCTACGCATCCCAGCGTCACTAGATCAGGGCTTCTTTGATTCCATGGATACACATTAATGATCTAGTTTGAGTTTCCCTTTCCATATAAAATAAACTGGTCATGAATTACATAATTCATTTAAAAATTAATTTCCAATTAAAATTGCTTTGGCTGCCAAAAGGAACAGAAAGGAGGGGCGTGTGTCCTCTCGGTCCTTTTTGAGAGGGAGGACATGCTACAGGCTTCCCCCCTCTGCCCTCAGGTCATTGACCTCAGCCCTCGCCTCCCCCGCAAGGCCCTGGCCCAGCTCACCAAGTGCAGCTCCTGCTCCGCCCCAGCACAGTCACTCCATGCAGACGCACTGGCCTGCATGCAGATCTGGATATGCCAAGGCTGTGGCCTTCAAGGCCTGTGCATCTGCCAACAACCCAGCCCCACAGTTGAACCTAGCAAGCGCATTCTAGTAAATTTAGGGCCCGACTTAATGTCTCCCCTGAACCTCTCCACCCTCCAGCCCTATTCTAGTTACCCAGAACACTTTGACTGACTAAATCCTCTTCTATGAAGCTGCCTTCTTTCCCCAGGAAAAACCTCATCTCCAACAGGACAGGGCTTTGGCTTTCTGGGTCACCTGAGTTCTCGGCTGCTCTTGGCACCAAGTCAGTATATATATACGTGTAGTGTGTTGCGGCACAGCTGCACCCAAGTGTGTAAATGAGGCAAACTTCCATTGGCAGAGCAGACATGTGTATCTAGGATTGTGTGAGTCTTTTCACATAACTTCATGGTCACAGCCTTCCGTTATCCTGGAGAAGGAAGCCATGGACCCATGAAGGTAAGTGGCTTACTTAAGGGCCAGCTCCTAAGACCTGACACTTCTGGCACACCGGAGTAGAAGGCTATGCTGCTCTGTAATTCCAGGCCGCGCCAGAACACAGGCTGGCGGTGGTAATCTTGGAGGCCTCGTGGTGTGTATGGGGTCGGGGGCAGCCTTGAAACTGCGCTATGAACATTCCACTGGAAACTCAGCACACAAGGTACCACATCGCTCTTTTTCTCTCTCCCCTTTCCCTCTTTCTTCCTTCTCTCTTGCTCAGGAGAAGTATCACCACGCGCGAGAGCACACACAGGCACACAGAATTCTTCCAAGCCATCTACTTTTAATTGACCAAATCCTCCTGAAGTGCTCCATTTAATTGAGTGAATCTTAGCAAAGTGTTTTCACTTAATTGGCATGATTAACTGTTGAAATCCTGGAGCCACAACCCCCAAATGAATTGTTAATTGTCCTTTCCCATTAAGCAACAGGAGTGGCCCTTCCTGGACTAGCTCTCCCAAGGGATTTGGCCTGAGAGCTCTTCAGCTCTCGATGGCCACGTGATCATCATCCATAGGACCAGGGCCCAAAGACACACAGAGCTAACTTAGAAGGCACTCCTATGAACAGGAGAAAAAAGCAGGCCACACTTTCAGAAAAGGAAGCTCACGTTCACTTAATTAACTGAGTGTACCATGTAAAAGAGCTTCCTGAGAAGTGAAAGAAGATAATTAAGAAAAAGGATAACATACATTAATTTCCTCTGCAGTTAAGAATAAAATTATCATCAATCCTGAAGACAACTGGATCATGTAGAATCCACATTGCACAACTGTTCTACTCTAAAATGGTGGCCCTAATCTGGAAAAGAAATGATGTTATAACAAAAGTGACAACTGCAAGTGTCTACTGCTTTCTGGAATGGACTGAAGATCAAGGTCAAGGCAATCCCAGGTAGAACGCGGAAGTCACTGTAGTGTACCCAATGGGCACAGAGAGTACTGCTGACCTTGAACATAGGGACGTGCACTCAGACCAGAAGAGCACAGCCTGGACTTGTGGAGTGCACATTACAGCTGGAAACAGAAGCAGAGAGAAACACTGTGGGAAAACAGCTCTCCAAGTCCTTCTTTGACTGGAGCCTAAAGATGGTCTAATAGCTATCAACTTGCAGAGAGCACAGGCCAGCCAAGGTTGACTGCGGGTTCCACACTGGGCCTCGCCAAGTGCTGTGTACTGCAGCGCTTTAATAAGTTTTTGCTGTCCAACTACATGCAGCATCATGGTGCCCATGTTCACCTGCTACCGCACAATTTAGAAGTGTGTGCTTTGTAAACTTGCGAGTTGGTGCAAGTGACCAGGCCTGGCTGCCATGTACTACAGGATGCAAGGCGAAGCAGCCAACTCACTTCAGCTTATTGCATGGAAGCAGAAACACTAAGAGATCCAGAAAATAACCATTTTACTCTGATCTGGAAGAATAGAAATTGAGAGTTCAATTCAATTCAACAGTGACAAAAGCCAACCCATGTCAGAAAAACGGGAATAATTCCATGGCTTCTGGTAGCCTTTGAGCTTAGGTGATCCTAAGGGTGTGGCTTCCACTAAAGGCAGCTTCTGAGCCTAAAGGATCAGTCATCAGCAGACTACATCATAAAATAGCCAAGAAACCTCCCTGGGAAGGGGCTGTCCTTCCCTGGGCAGTGGGGGAGGGAGAGGCAGCAAGGCCACCCAAAGGAGGCTTGCCTGAGAGCTTCTAGAAGTTTCCAAGGTGTGCCTCAACCACCTGGAGTTCCTTGAGCCCCTAAATAAGGACATGTAGCAGAGTGTTCTGAGGCCATGAAGCATAAGTCTAGTCAGAAAACAACAGGTGGCATGCAGTGTGTGGTTTAGTTCTGGGGTGAGCAGAAGATGCCCAGAAGGGTGGAAATCCTCAGAAGAGATCCGGTTCCCCCACCCAGTGTCGATCACCTGGATTCCTAATTCTCCTTACTGGGTACCTTCTCTCCCCTGAGCCAAGGCTCTAGGATTGAGGGAACTATGTCTGGGCAGAGACAGTTGAGGATCAGTTGCATATGTGGAAATACAAGAGCTTCCAAAACCAGAACGACACTCTTCACCAACTTGTCCTCCCACCCATGGGATTTCTAACTTCTTGGCCCACTTTATGGGCAGCAGATATGGTCTGCAAACACCTAGACTTACCCAAAAGAGACACGCAAGGATAACTCATTGTGCCTCGAACAAATTCCAAGTGATGAGTCCAGCAGGTAAGGTCCCACCTGTAGGGTGAAAATTATCCGGGTAAACAGAAGCAGACTCATGTGTACCTTCTAGGAATCTGTCCTGCTGAAGAGCAGGGGTTCAGTGACAGGGCAGGCTGTGCCCAACATCCCAGTGCATCCCAACCAGGCCGAGATATGAGCGCTGTGCTAGGCCCTGGATGGCGGTCCATCCTGGCGCTGACCTTCTCTCAAGCAGGCAGGCCCAGTTTGGGCCCATCCTGCACTGTGCAAGCTGGCTGCTATGCTGAAGTTGCAGAATCCGAATGGGCCCAAAGAGAGGGTGTCTCACCAGGAAAGCCTGTTTCTCTTGGGATATTTGTGTCTGTGTGTGCCTTTTTCTGTGTGTGTGGGTGGGAAGGCATCTGTTTCCTCTCTCACTTTGCCTGGGCACCTGTCTCTCTCTGTTTAGGTTTCCATCTTCTTTCCTTTCTATAAAAAGCCAGAAGGTAGGCCAGAAGGAGATTTTGTAGTGTTTGTTGTACTTAATTGAGGAAAGGTTTATGTTCCCATTTCCCCAAGAAGACGTGTGGCATCTTACTAAAAATCAAAATAAATTGTAAGTCTGGCCTCATTGAGGCTATTCTGCCTAGATTCTAAACTGGGTGAGGCGTGGGATGCCGCACAAATCCCAAGGGGTCCTGTGTCCTTCAAGGAGCCCAGGTAGGTGTGCAAAGGCTCAGTCACTGGGTTAGGAGCCTGACTTGGAGTCAGCAAGAGCTCAAGTGGCCCAGTGGCAGCAGATCTAGCTTGGGCCAAGGAATCTGCATTTTCCAACGAGTCCTCCAGGGGACTTTGATGTGGGAACTAGCATGTGTAGCTTCTGTCATCTCTAGCAACACCACACGTGGATCCTGGGCAAGAGCCTCTTCACACAGGGGCCCACTGAACGGTGCTGAGGGTGGGGCTTGTGGAAAGAGGCCTCACTTTCTAGTGGATCTTCTGAGGGGTCTCTCCCAGAAGGCTAGAAATCACTGTTCCGTTCACTTCTAAATATAGACCTGGGAACAGTTTTGGGGAATGCACCGAACTGTGCCAGACACTGTGTAAGTTGCATGCACCAAAAGGCTGGGGGGGGGTGAGGGAGGGGCTGAGGCAGCACTAGTCCCTGTCCCGGATGAGGTGCTGTTCCAGCAATCCCCGCTGAAATCCGCTTGGGGAGGAAAATGTCGGGGCTGACGTTGAGGAGGAAATGTTTCACTGATCAAGGAGACTGGAGAGAGGCCACTGGCCTGGCTTGGCCAAGGCTGGCTGGAAGGTGTCCGAGCGGGGTGGGACCTCTGGGAAGAAGGCCAGGAACGGGGTGGGGGCGGGGGTCCGAAAGAGGACGTGGGCTTTGGGCAGCAGGCCAGTGAGGGCACACATGGTGTGAAGACGTGATTAATCACTCAAATTGAGACTGGAGGGACAGCAAAGGGCTTGAGGGGAGGGGGCGGGGAACTGCGGGAGACTATGGACCCCAGTAGTGCAAGAGAAAAAGCCCCAAGCAGGCTTGAGCTCCGTTCAGCAAGCAGGGGCTGTGCACGTTCTCGTGGCTTTGGCCACCGTACACATCCCACGTCTGCTGAGCTCAGGCTCGACCCTCACCCAAATGGAAAGGAGGGAAGCTCTCAGCAGGGACTGTCACCAGCGACAGTGACTGGGGTGCAGCTTTCTCCCTTACTGGAGACAAGTCCTTTAAGCTCCCTCTTGTCTCCTACCCTCAGCCCCAGTGGTACTTGGGGCTCTGAGGGGGTCGTCTTTCTTACCCAAGACTGCTTTCCACCCCGCAGCTTCCTCTGTAGAGTAGCTCAGGCCTCCACAGATCTACAATTCCCGCCCTTGACCGCCGCCCCCTGCCCGCTTCCAGGCCTTCGGGCCTCGTCGTCCCTGCCAGCAAGGACCTGTCCCCCTGTGCCATGGCCCACAGGGTGGCTGAGACGTCCCCTCCCCCGCACCTCTCCCGCGGCCCGCACACTCACCCTAGCCTCAGTACAGTCTCCCGCCGCCGGTCCCGCACGCTCACTCCGACCCACACATCCTTCCACCTCATTCCCGATCACTCGAACCACTAGGGCGCTCACAGCCCGTCCCCCTCGCCGCCCGCACCATCACTCGGCCCGCACACTCTCCCTCGGTAGGCATGCTCACCCAGGCCCGGAGGCTGCCACGGTGCGGCCCTCGGCAGAGGGGAGCTGGCGCGGCCCAGGGAGGCCCGGCGTGGCAGGAAGCGCCACTGAGCCGCCGCCCGCGCCCGGCAGAGCCCAGCAGCCCGGAGGAGCGTTTCCGGAGCCGTGGGCGCCGCCGGGGGTACAGGGGAAGAGAGGCCCCGCCCTGGACTCTGCCCCGCCTGGCCTGCCTGTCCCGATTGGTCCAAAAGGGGGGCGGGAGGAAAGGGGCGGAGATGGGGCGGAACGAGATCGGGAGGGAGGCGGGGCGGCCGAGGGGGGGTGGGGGGGAGCAAGGCTAAGCGGAATGAGTGTACCGATGATGAATGAATGAACAAGCGAGCAAATTGCCCCGCAGAGGAGAAGGCGGGATGGAAAGGACATCTGCCCGTTGGACCTCAGTCTTGTCTTAAGGGCTGTACGTGCGTGCTGGGGGGGCACAACCAACAAATAGGTCCTTGTTTTAATTTCTTTCTTTTTCTTTTCTTTTGGCGGAACCGGGGATTGAACTCAGATCCTTGCGTTTGCCAGTCAAGCGCTTTTCCTACTGAGCCATCTCCCTGGCCCCCCTTGTGTTAATTTCAACAGAAAAAACCAAACAGGACCCTTGGGGTCAGAGGTATGGCAAGCGCAGGACAGCCACCTCCACATGATTCCTTTGCTTCCCTAGCCACTAGAAACCTAAGGCTAAATTACAGCCCCTTACTCTGCTAAGCCCGGGGTACACAAGTTACTACTTACCCGACGCTCTGATTTCTTCAGGTAGCCAATAATAAGCAAGAATCAATGCGGAACGTTTAAGAAGACTGCTGAGAACCTAAAAGAATGTCAGCTGGGGTGACGTGGGAGAGTGGGGATTTGGCTTGTGGGGCAGGCTGCAGTGAGGTCAGAGCACTCCCGGGCCAAAGAACAGACGCTAACCTTGGCCTATTCCAGGATCAAAAGGCAAGAGCAGAGAGAGGGGCCAGGGAGATGGAGCCCAGGACTGAGCCCAGCTGGGGGCCTGGTTCAGCCTCTTGGCTTCAGCTTTATTAAGAAGCATTGTTTTATGCATTATTAGCAGTAATTATGATTCCTTATTTCCTAATTATTCTTATAACAATTTTATTCATTACATTACATTTTTCTCATTTGCCTCTACATTTTACTACCTACGTTGCTGAACCTGCTTGTGCTCCTTTGCAGTCACCCCTGGAGGGTAATTTCCCATTGTGTGGAAATATCAGAGTTGTTTTACTAATTCATCAATTTATTACCTGAACTATTTCCAGTTTTCTTTATTATAAATAAAGCTGCTATATAAATATTCATGTATGCATTTTCTATGTGAACACGTGCTTTCATCTTTCTTGGTAAGAAGCTGGGAGGGGAATTGCCACGTCATAAGATAGTTGCATATTTTATTGGAAACAAGCAGAATGTTTTTCAGAGCAGTTGTGCAATTTATATTCCCATCAGCAATGTCTGAGCATTCATTCTCGTTCTCATGCTCATTAACATTTGGGGTTGTCAGCCTTTATTTTTACCCATGCAAGTGGGTATAAAGTGCTATCTCACTAGGATTTCAGTGATCATTCCCCTGATGACTAATCGCAGCAGTGTGTCTTTATGTTCTCACTGGCCATTGCTGTACTTTTCTCTTCAAAGTGTCTATTCAAGTAATTTGCCCAATTTTATGTAGTTGTGTGTCTTTTTTCCTTGTAGGCGTTCTTTTTAAAAAGAATCAAGTCTATTGAGGAATATTTGACATGTAATAAATTACACATGATTTGATAAGTTTCTTATATAATAAATTGAACATGATTTGGTAAGATTCTTTCTCTTACACACACGCATGCACACATGCACGCATGCATGCGCGCACGCGTGCACACACACGCATAGTCACACCACTATGAAGCCATCAGCACGAGCACAGTGCTGAACACGTCATTACCACTGAAGTCTCTTCAGCCCTTCCTAATCTCCCCTCCTCTCCTTCCCTCCCCACCCCCGGGAACCACTGGGCCACTTCCTGTCACTACAGGGTAGTGCGTGCTTTCTAGAATTTTGTGTAAGTAGAATAATATAATACGTACTCTTTTACATTTGGTACCTTTCACTCTAGCAAATGATGCAGAGATTTCCTTAGTCTGTGCTGCTACGCCAGAATGCCGGAGGCCACATGCTGCTATCTTTTGAAGGTGTTCCCTCCAAAGTTCTGGTGTCACTGAAGTGGTAGGATGAGAGGTGGTTAGGCCCTGAGCGCCCCTGCCTCATGCCTGGGATAGAGGCCCATAGTCATGTGGCTTATTCACCTCTGAAGAGTGTCCCTCCCCTCTGGAGGGTGCAGTGAGAAGCCCTTTATCAGACACCAAGTGCCAGGGCTGGGATCTGAACCTTCTCGGGCTCCCCAGCTCAGAAATTGCACTTGAGCTCTTTACAAACTACCCTTGGTGGCTCATAAAGAACAGACATATATTTATTTATTTCACACTTTCGGGACCCCGAGATTAAGGGGATGGCAAATTCGGTGGCTGGTGAACACTCCCCTCTGCTTTGTAGATGGCACCTTCTTGCTGCATCTTCCCAGGGCTAAAGGGGCCCAAAGGGATAAACACCCTATCCTCACATGGCAGAAGAGATGGAAGGAGAGAAAATGCCAAGCTGCTCTCTAAAACCTCTCTTGTGGACCGGCGAGATAGCGCAGTGGACTAAGTGCCTGCTTTGGCTAGTGCAGGGACCAGGAGTTTGATCCCTTGTCCTGTATGCAAACCGGCCCCGCCCCTAGGTCATGCAGAGCCAGCTGAGCAGCAAATGAGTCTGGGCGTGGTGGTGCACGTCTGTAATGCCAGTGCTAGGGAGGCTGAAAACAGGAGGATCACTGCAAATCCAATCCGCGTAGTGAGACCTGTACCAAATACATAAGATGGAAACAGCCCCTCTTTTATAAGACCATAACCCCATTCAGGAGGCAGTGCCCTCGTGCCTTTGCCATTCCCCCAAAGGCTGTCCCCCCTCCTTTCGCAGTTCTGTCAACTGAACCACCCAGGACCTTGTGCGAGCTAGAGAAGCTCTCTGACACTGAGCTATATTCCCAGCTCTTTTATTTTTTTAATTTCTAAAAATCATTTATTTATTTATGTGTTTGGTATAGGGTCTCGTTATGCAGCTCAGACTTACAGTAATTCTCCTGCTTCAGCTTCCACGGTGCTGAGATTATGGGCATGTGCCACCACACCAGTTTTTGGTGATTGGCACTGCTTCTGGGGCCCGCATGGCATGCGGTACTGAGGGTCGGACCCGGGTCCTTGTGCTTGCCAGCCAGGAGCTTAGACCACTGAGCTAGCTCCCCAGCCCTCCCAGCTCTCTGCAATTTTATTTTAAGACACAGTCTTTCTAAGTTGCGCACCATGCTCAGTCAAGTCTGTTTCTTTATATCATCGTCTTGGGTTCGAGTGTGTCTGTGAATTCTGGAACAATCGCGTGTGCTCACCCACAGTGATGAGCGCACAGCTCATGCCTTCGCATGGACCGGTGTTCCACGGCTGCAATGCACTCTCCAGGTGTCTCTTGATAGATTTTGGGTTGTTTCCAGTTTGAAAGTCATGGAAGTCTTCTCTGGTGTGACAAAGTACCTGAGAAAAGAAACTTAAAGGAGCAATGATTTATTGCAGCTAATGTTTCAGTTCATAGTCAACTGGTTCCATTGCTTTGGACCCAAGGCAGGGCAGAGCATCATGGTGTCAGAAGCATATGACAGAGGACAATGCTCACCTCAGGACAGCAAGGAACAAGGGGGAAGACAGGAGGAGAAACGGAGGGGAGGAGGAGAAGACGGGACAGAGGAGTGGGGGGCAAGGAACAAGACACACCTTTCAGACTCAGGCCTCCAGCACCCTCATAGCAGCAAGGTTCCGCCTCCTAATAGTCTATTCATCTTGAGCCCATCAGTGGATCAGTACAATAAATTGTAATAATGTTACTATAAAAATGTTGAGAATAATAATGAAGAAAATAAAAATAGTTGAGTACTGAAAAATCTCCACAAATCTACTGACAGACAAATGGCAATATATTCTATCCCAGTTATGTGTGTGTAATAGAGGAGAAAAAAATCCACAAGAAGCAAGATGCGAGCGAGACCGAGACACTAGTGGGCAGAAATGTTGGAATCATAAATGTCAGGGAAATGCACTAATTCCGCATAGTTTCTGGTAATCTTGAGGCAGTCTTAGCTCTTTTCAGAGAACTGTAAAAAGGGTTGAAAACCAATTTATTTTTATACTAAAAGGGCAGAGCGACCCAGATAATATATGGTTGCAGACGAAGACATGCACAGTGTACTTGTTGATTCAGTTATTGAACTTGGATTGCTTTCCATTTCTCATTCTGTTAGCAGTGGGCTGGTGAAGGTGGAGGTACTCAAGGAAGTTGTAGTACAACTACTAATCTCCAATGATTATACTCGTACAAATTAACTTAATACATTAAGACATATGAACATTTAAAATAATGTTCTTATTCTTTTCTTAGCAGTGTTTATTTTTTAAAGAAATTCTGTCTTTTGATGATTAAACTTACCAGTTTTCTCTTTTATGGATTATGCTTCTTGGTGTCACCTAAAAAGTCTCTGTCTACCCTGAGGTCATAAAGACCTTATCTTACCACAGAAATTTTATGATTTTTTAAAAATAATTTATTTATGTATTTGGCACATGGTCTCACTACACAGCTTGGACTCGTAGCAATCCTCCTGTCTCATCTGGAATTACAGGCATGCACCACCATGCCTGGTTCTGGAACCGGCACAGCCTGTGGTACTGGGGATCAAACCCAGGTCCTTGCACTTGCCAGGCAGGTGCTTAGACCGCTGAGCTATCTCTCCAGCCCCAGAAGTTTTATGATTTGAACTCTAATATTTAGATCTCTGGTCCATCTTGAGACAATTTCTGAATGTAGTGCAAGGTACAGACCAAAGTCCAGCATCATTTGTTCAAAAGACTCCACCACATTGCTCTGCAATTTTGTCAAAGATCAGTTGTCCACAAAGGTGAGCATTTCTTGTGGTTCTCTATGCAATCGTGTCTATCTGCTTTCTACTTTTACGCAAATGCCATGCTGTT